ACTCAAAGAACCAATAAGATAAAGGACACGTAATTATCAAACTTATAAGTCTACTCAAAGAACCAATAAGATAAAGGACACGTAATTATCAAACTTATAAGTCTACTCAAAGAACCAATAAGATAAAGGACACGTAATTATCGAACTTATAAGTCTACTTAAAGAACCAATAAGATAAAGGACACGAAAGTAAAACCACCGTGAAGAACATGAGAATAAAAAGACACCCAGTTAACAATAACAGTTTTTGACTCTAATCCCTAATTAGATGTAACAAGCAGTAAAGAAAAAGAAACTTAGAAACTAAATAACATAAACAGTGAAAAGAAGTATAAATAATTACCCAAAACATCCACAAAATTTCCTGAATTTACAATTATCAAAACAGTAATTATCATAAAAACCCATAAATATACCAAAAATTAAAAACGAAGTAATAATCAAACTCTAAATGCAAATTTAAAGTAAAGTAACTTAGATGGTAAGAAAATTATAAAAATCTAATTTACCAAATATTGAGCAGAGAAGACATGAAAGACTTAAACTATTGTGTGCAGAAATTAGGTCAATCCACAGAAGCTCACAAGAACTCGCTAAATATGGGTATACCTAATAGGAGTGAGGAATACATCAAACTTCCCACAGATCTCTAACCCAGGAGATTACATGGAGGTGTGGTAACAGGTGGAAAGTGCTGTAGAAAGAAATTTACAAACAGTAGTTATATCCTTCCTCACAAAAAATCATAACGTGAAAGGAAGAAATTATTGGCTAAACATAAGACACAAACTCCACACAAACTACAGCCTGTGCTTCTCCAGCAGACATCGTCGACACTGAGATTTCGAAACTCGTGTCAGAACCATTGTCTACTGTCAAGAGAATTTCATCATCCACAATATTAAATATAAAGTTCATATAAACACATTAGAATTCGAAAAACAGAAATATTTCTAAAACAATGGAAATCAAACATAAGAAGTTGAAACTGATACAAATTTGTGATCAAGCACAATCAAAATTTTTTATTCTCATGGAGAGTGAGTTAAGACACATGTCTGTACACTAGAATGCCAATTGAGAAAGTGAGGATTACTCTAGAATGGTAGAGGGAGCTAGCTGCGCTAATGTAGAGGGTACAGTATGATTAGTGGAGAATAGTCACATGATCAGCACATATTCTGAAATGGCATGAAACTGATGGGGTATAAAAGATTGGTGTGCTGTTAGCGAAAAATTTAGCAATGCTTAGAGGGCAGTCCAGGATCAAAATGGCTTCGGGTGAGAGAGGTGAGACCATACAAAATTATTCAGTTATTTAGTCAAGATAGACTACAGAATAAACTGTAGATAGGTTCAATGTGTATCTCATGAAAACAAATACTTCATAATAAAAAATCTAAACACTTAGAGTAAATTATTCTCTTCACATTAATTTTAAGATAAGGACAAAATATAGAATACTATATCAGCTCTTTTGTGGAATCTCCCTCTCTACTAAGTTCTCATTCAATAATATATACATTTGAGTCTCACATCATATGTTATAAATAAATATCATAATACTTATTACGATTAACTAAGAAAACACAACAATGACTAAAATTATTATTTATCGATCAAGATAGAATTATCTGATTGTTACTATAATTCAGGTAGCAGAGATGATAGAACATTGATCCAAGAATGCTTAAGTCTAGATTGAGACATTGTTTAATATTCTTATCTGTTAAACCGGCACCCAACTATTAGTGAAGTCATTTCATCCCTGAAAGTGAAACTACAAGTGTGTGGTAGATTAATTTACCTGCAAACATTTGGTTGAGCTGTTAGCTTAGTGTCATAAATACATAAATGATTGAAGGACAGTCAGTGTGTGTAATGATTTTATATGATTACTGGACAGTTGCTGCCTTTTAAGCCATTATATTATGCTGTAAACACAAGGACAAAGCTTTATCTGTGTAGAATTGGTGGATGTAACTATCATCCAATATTTAGTGGTATTTCAAAGTTTCCTTTGTAGTAATTTTCTATAGCATGAAAATACATTTATCATCTGAATTATATTTCTTAATTCACAATAAATGAGTCTTTCGTAAGAAAGGCAACTAATCACAATGAATTAAAAATAAAAATTAATCTCTGCAAGCTTCCTTCTACATTCTGTAAAAGCATAACATTTTAATGATGGAATTTCTAAAATATACAATCAAAAACTACAAGTTCTAATGATAATCAGCCTTCCAAAGTACTAAACTAACTTAAAGTTAAACAGAGTAGTATTTGTTCTCAAACATTCACACTTGATACTTCATCCAATCTCACCAGTTATACAACTATACAAATCACAGCAAACACTATCAAACTGGAATATCTGAGGAGATAAAATATACATTGATTATATTTTATCAATATAGATATGCTTAAATTTTACAAATACATTATTTTATTTTTTAATTCATTATATAATTTCCTTTAACATTACACACACCTTCTTTTCTTCTGGTTTTTTCAGAACTCTTTCATCTTTCCTTTCTTGTTGCTCTTTGGGTTTGACTTTAAGTTTCTTTTCTTCTTCAGGTGCTTCATCAGGTTCAGGCTATAATAATATGCATAAATGATAAAATATACAACAAAGTAACCTTTACAGTTGGTCATTACTAAATCACTTGTTGTACAGTAACTGAAAACATCCTTCTTCACATACTATATGAAACTGTTTAAGGGATTCGAAAGGTTTTTATTTAGCTAGTCATACTGAATACATTAACAAAAAGAGTCTTGTGTAGGAGGTTAGAATTATGAGATCACCAGATTTGGTTATTTTGACAATGGTAACAAATTTATACTTCCGAATTATCACTCCCTAACTGCTATCATAAATCTTTAAACAAGTTGTTTACTATTAGTTAAAATTATTTGAATGTTACTGGAATGTATGATCCCTAATTCAGCTTCTTCGGAATACTACGATTTAATGAATACAAGAGGCCGAGAATAAATGTCTGTTTCTATTCTTGGCACTGTCTAAATAGTGTCCTTGCACAGTCAGAGCTGACAGTTTAATGCCTAAACAACTGTTTTTAGTTTTACCAAAAGCAAATAGTGTCAAAATGCTTATTCTCCTGAAGAAACAACAGTTTACAAATAAAACATTTATTTAAAAGCATTTAGCTGAAATAAGTAGAAAATGGAAAGCTAGAAAAAAACAGGATAAAAGCTTTGGGAAATAGTCTGAAAGAAAATAGGAGACATAAAGATTGATGAAATACAATAAGACATGCAGTATTTTTCTGGAAGCACTGACACATAAGAAAGTGCAACCAAGTAGTTACTGCCATAAATCATACAATGGAATTAAAGGTACTGTTACTGCTTATCATATGCTTTCAGAAAAATCTTATATTATAAAACTGATAAACTTTATAGCACAGGTGTTTTCAAAATAGAAATAATAATTTAATAAATGAAATAAGAACTTTGCATGAGGTGGCTAAGAAGTACTAAGTAATAGTACCTTTTAATAGAACTTAAGAAACCTCACTTAAGAAGTGAATCTGTTCAGTAAACAGCAAATTCATTTAGCAATACATTCTAAGTTATTGCAATCAGTTCACCACATGTTTCCCATTATTATGCACAGTTGAATCAAAGTTTAATTTTGTTAAAACATAACAAGACACAAACAAACCTTAAGATAGTAAAAATGACATACAAAACATAAAAGTTTAGTGTGGCTAATATATTATAAACAATGACTGCCATCACCACGTCACAAACTAAAGATTTTTGCTCACTACTACCAAATATATCAAAGTAAAAAATGACTGGTCTGATTTTAAAAGTTCTACATTTTATTTACAACTATATGAAATTAGATGTTAAAACAAACATTTAATCTGCAAACTTATTGATATAAAATGAAATCATTTTTAACAATCCATGCAAGAATAAAGGATTGGTTTTATTAATTAGGAAATCACCACAAAGTCTGAGCATGACGAGGCTGGCATATCTATTGGAATTTTTTTCAGCACACTGGTTAATCAGTCTTAGTTTGATTCTGTGTCAGAGTTAATGTACTTCTTAATTTATGTATCAGGCTTGCCAAACAATATTAAGTATTCATCATCTTACATAGGAATATCTTGATAATTTTAGTAAATTATAAATTTTCATGTGGATTAAAAAATCAAAAACATTATATTATCAATCTTTCTTTGTTTCAAGTTAAAATGTTCACTAATGTCTAATAATAGTATAGAAGAATAAGAAAATAGAATTCAAGTGTGTTTCATTTATTAAACGGAATAAATTATACTTGAGTGTCTGTTTAGAGTTAACCAATAATTTATGTTAATAACTGCTCTACCAACTATCACATATACAAAAAGTTAAAATTAAGTTTAATAAATTTCTAAAAAATTTTATCTGCTAGGCTGACTTCTAAAACATATATTTCTGGTTGTAATGTGTGCCAGTTAGATAACTCTATAATAAATGTTCTGTTCAGGTTCATAGGTATGCTAGTTGTGCATTGACCAGTTATCATTGTTTATTGTCAACTCCTAGGTTTCTGTTTCTTGAAAATACATGCATACAGCATAATACTGTAGATAATACTGAGTTAGTTACAAGTTACAGAGCTTTAGGAAAAACATTCGCCTACAATCTCATTCTCAACAAAATGTTTTGGTAATTCAACTACAACAAAAAGTTAAAAGTTAGTTGTTTTTATAACAATATCCTTTTCAGTTTATACAATTTTATTTAATTAAAACGTTTAACTATATTTTCATCAAAAGTACTATAATACCTTCATTAATGACGTGAAAAGAACAAAAAAAAACACTTTACAATTATTTTTACAAAGATTTGCAATAAAGAAATGCCACAGCTTATATACCAATAAAACTTAATGTTGCTGTTAACAGTTTCTAGATCTGTTGCTTAAATGTTTAGGTAAGAATTCTTAGTTCTAATATCAGAATAGAATAAACACTGCAAAAGCAATATATATATAGGTCATTAGAATCAAACGTTACATTTAACATCTTCAAAAACTAATTTTGTTTTTTGTGATTAAATGCAGTCTTTATGTTGTGCATGTAATTTGAGCCAATTATTTCCCAAACTGCATTTTCACTGAATACAAATATATATATAATTTTTCTAGTGGTTACTGGTCTTTTTTAGGCATTCATAGATATATCCAAGATTTTGAAAAGTGGGTATTCAATGTTGAAAAAGAGGTTTGACACAAAGCATGTTAGATATATCTGTTAACAGAAAGCCGTTAAGCACTTCTGATTATAACATACGAACAACCGTGGTATATCAGCTGAAAACAAAATCAGATCATACACTTCATGATAATCTCTATATAATTTTTAATCTATCTTGCAATTAATGCATACATAAGGAGTGTACAGATGATCTGTAATTATAAATACAAGAGTTACAATAGTTGTGGTGACAGTAACTGCAATAGGTTCATATACCAAGTATGTATACCAGTACCAGTATAGTCATTATTTTAAAGTCACGCATGATAATATTAGTTTTCAATTATAACTATAAAACTGCCTCCAGTGCACAGAAATTATTTGGGTGAAAAGCATGTCATAGTCACTCCTTCTGTGAAATGTTCTGATGCACCTTAAACATGAAACATCTTCACAACTGCCAAATGGTAAAATGTAACCAGAAAATCATGTCATAGTCACTCATTCTGTGAAATGTTCTGATGCACTTTAAACATGAAACATCTTCACAACTGCCAAGTGGTAAAATGTAACCAGAAAATCATGTCATAGTCACTCATTCTGTGAAATGGTCTGATGCACCTTAAACATCAAACATCTTCACAACTGCCAAGTGGTAAAATGTAACCAGAAATGCATGTCATAGTCACTCATTCTGTGAAATGTTCTGATGCACCTTGAACATGAAACATCTTCACAACTGCCAAGTGGTAAAATGTAACCAGAAAAGCATGTCATAGTCACTCATTCTGTGAAATGTTCTGATGCACCTTAAACATGAAACATCTTCACAACTGCCAAGTGGTAAAATGTAACCAGAAAAGCATGTCACAATCACTCATTCTGTGAAATGTTCTGATGCACTTTAAACATGAAACATCTTCACAACTGCCAAATGGTAAAATGTAACCAGAAAATCATGTCATAGTCACTCATTCTGTGAAATGTTCTGATGCACCTTAAACATGAAACATCTTCACAACTGCCAAGTGGTAAAATGTAACCAGAAAAGCATGTCATAGTCACTCATTCTGTGAAATGTTCTGATGCACCTTAAACATGAAACATCTTCACAACTGCCAAGTGGTAAAATGTAACCAGAAAATCATGCAAATACATCAGAACCTGTATGTTTTCAAGGAGCTCAGAAAGCTATCAGACACACCTATGTCAATGTTTCATTTCACAAGTAGGGTGCAGGGTGATATAGAAAATCTTGTTCCTAAAATTTATTATCTCCCACAGCTTCGAATAGATCAATTGTTTGGTATTTTACGTATTCAGTTTGCATATCAACCACAGTTGGTATACAATTATAGAAGCAACTATATTTTTTTCCTTTTATGATTTATTTTTATTTTAGGGGGGGGGCTAATATCTTGGACACGGATATGCCACTGGAGTTACTGTTTAGCTTTCTAAGTGAAACATACTTATATTTATGTTTAGAAAAAGTAGTGATGTAAAAAAATTAAACATAAAATTAGACCTGAAACAATTTTTGTTTGTCCAAGAAGTCGAAAGATGGGACTTTTGTTGCTGCAGTAACACTGCTAATATTTTATTTTATCAAAGCCTTGTAGATCCACTTCACTGGTAGGACACTCAGTAAACCTAGCATACAAGTTAGTGAAATTTAGATTTCCCTCTTCAAATCATTCAAATAGTTAGCTAACATATACCACACCATACTTTCTTTTAAGAAAACCCAGGATTGAATCCTTGTTGTTATCAATAAGTGACACTAGATCAGCAGCCAAAATACAGAATATAAATTAGTTACTGATTATTCTCCAGTACTAAAAATAATACTAACTAATTACTCACCAGACTTAACTGATCATATAAGCTAGTAATCATGAAATTTTTCTTATTTTTTTTAATGAACAGATTACAATGAGTATTCATTCTTTAAATTTTTTTTGGTGCAAAGAAACAAGAAGTGCACAAAAATATAGAGTTGTACTACAAAAAGAGTTGAAATACTCGTCAACTGATGGGGAATCTTTAAAGTTAATTAAAACAATGTAAGTTTAACAGCAATCCTATATTTCAAAGCAATAACTTGAACATAAACTTTATCTCAAGATTTTGAAATTATAACAAAGCTTCTTCATAAACAACATTTGCAGTTTGCTTTCTATCTAACAACAAAAAATATTTTGAGGTGATCCCACCCTTGAACACGTTACATCTCATTGGCAACGAAAAAAGCATGGTTGTTTGAGGAACAATCCAGCAACTTTCATACTTTGACCTTGAATCTCTTTAAAATATTCAACACTGTCTAAAGCATCAACCTGCCAAAATTGTTTGAGATTGACTTAATAGGCTTGGAGTAATTAACCAACAGGCTTTACAAAATATAAGTAGGGTTAAGTTCAATTCTGACCCCCTTAGGACATTTCCCATAGTTCATAGTGTTGACATACACATTTTGGTTGAGATTGGCCCAATAGGCTCAGAGGAGTTAGGGTGCAAACAAACACACATTTCATCTTTATATATATATATATATAGATTCTGTAATTTTTCTTTGTTAAATTTGTTTTCATATACAATGCTGCACAAGGAAAGCTGTAAGCAACATTCACAAACACAATTTAATCACTGCATGAAGCTATACCTAAAATGTCAATGAAAAAAACAATTAATAATCTGTGCACTATGTAGTTTTAAGTTCACATCTGGACAAATCAAACTAATAAAAATAATTAGACTATAAACACGTATATAATAATTAGTCTTAGTGAATCTGAAGTAAAGAAGATGTAAAGTACAGAAGTTCCAGAAAGATAAAGAAGAAGTGTACAGAGATAAAGTGAAAAGTGGAGATAGAGAAGGAGGATGGAAAGAAACAGAAAAAGTTTTTTTTTTCTCTCATCCTCCAACCTGTTTTTGTGGTTTTTTCACTTTTTGCAGGACAGGCCAGTCTGGGATTAACTGTGCCAAACCTTTCTGTCGGCCAGGCTCATCTCGTGAACTACGACGATCCTCAAGTTTCTACAATACAACACACATATATTGTTGACCAATACAAAAACATATGCCTGGCAGTAGATGAAATAGAATAATTAACAACTGGAAAAACAAAACAAGTATAGACATACGCAATTATTTTATTATAAGACAAGTAATTACACAAACATAACATCAAGTTATATGGCTGATACATGGTCTGTCTTCTTTGTTTACAAAGGTTCATCATGCAGGCAGCCACTTAATGAAAATAACATACAGAACAACATTTTTTTCAAATTTGAAGGTTTAAACAGATATATTTGAGGAAATATTGTCCTAGTCTAGTTATAAAATATTTTTCAAACATTATAAAACAAAAAAATAAACTAAAGTAGATAACAAAATGAGTATACTAACAGTCTAAGAATAAGTGACGCTATAATGCATTTGTGATGAAGTTCATAAATACATCATAAAGCAATAAATAACACTAAACAGAAAGAAAACTAATGCAAAAAACAAGAGGATGAAAATAAGGCATTCATTTCTAGTCTTGTTCCAAAATGTGAAAAAGTTATATTCTACTTTCTTGTTGCTCTTTCTGTGTGTTTATTTAATGTATTTGGTCCTATTCAATTTTATGTCTTACTTTGTTCACATTTTATACATGAGCTTCTTCAAGAATATTTTCACCAATATATATAACATTCAACTGTTAAAGAGTTACTATAGTGATACGCACACATATACAGACTATTACTTGAATTTTATAACTTTCGTTTACTTATTCAATTTGCTTTACTAAGAATATTTTATGTTTAGTTTTTCACAAAATTTATTTCAATAATCATTGAATTAACACTTAGTAAAATTAACTTTACATAAAAGAATAACTAAAACCATTTTAACATCTCAAAACAGTCAAAAGAACTGTTCACACTACTTAAAATAATTTTCACGAATTTGTACTTAAAAGAATCTTTTTTCTATTAAACAATTAAAATTAATACTTAATGAGCATATTCTCATGACAGAAGTTTTACAAATTAATCAGTAAATACTAAGTAAAAAATTAGTTAATAACATTTTATCACAGAATTATCAAGACTTTGTAGTTTTCATTGCAACACATTTCCAAACTTTATAACATAAAAATATATGGTAACATTATATTTAGAGATAATAACTATTTTGACATCTCTTTAAAGTAAATATGATCAGAAATAATAACTAACAATATATTCGTCCAGTCACAAAAAAGCAAAGAAATATATATTTAATCTATTTATTTCAAACTAAATAAGAGGAATCCTTGGACATTTTATTCCAAAAACATTAAATTAATTATAACTGTTTTCAGTTGCTTTGGAATTCTCAGAATAGTTTAAAACCACATTTATTTCATTTCAATGGTTAGCCGCGTCAAGTAATAAAAAAAAGGTTCCAAAAATATATTGCATCAACATTCGAAAATCATAATTTCACTTATCAGCTATTTAAAAAAAATTCCAAAAGTCAAAAGTTCAAGCCAGACCTACAATTTTTCAATCTATGTACTAAGAAAAAAACATTTTTTTTTTAACCTTCTTAAATCTAGCTGTCTTCCATGAAGCACATATATATTAATTTTAGAAAAAACAAAAAATACAAACTATAAAAAATTGGATATCTACTGAATATATATATGTTCTTTCTGCTCCTGGCTTTGATGAAGATTTCCTAAAAACGTCACAACATATATTCAAGTGATAAAATTTTTAAGCAAGGCTTTTTGACTTGAGGGTCTCACCCATAAAAGTTGCACATAAGCATCTATTTTTTAATCAACCACATCATGTACACTTCACGTGTTATATTATGATGACAATAAACAAACATATTATAAGTATCAAAATTTTATTTTTATTTTTTGAAAGAAATTAATATATAATAAAATTATTTTCTTATTCTAAATCTATAATACTGAGATGAATGGTTTCTGATACAAACAAGATGTATTCAAAGTTATCAGATAAAAGGAAGTTACCTTCTTTTCTTCTGGCTTTTTTGTAGGTTTCTCCTCTGGTTTTTTCACTGGTTTCTCTTCTTTCTTTTCTTCTGGCTTTTTTGTAGGTTTCTCCTCTGGTTTTTTCACTGGTTTCTCTTCTTTCTTTTCTTCTGGCTTTTTTGTAGGTTTCTCTTCTTTCTTTTCTTCTTTTTTCTCTGGTTTCTTTTTTTGAGGTTCTTTACAATTTTTTCAGAAAAAACGTTTTCAATTAATGATATATACAAACTAAAAATAAAACAGTTTGAATCCTTAAATAAAAGCAACAATTCATGTTAGTTTGACTTTTTCATCTAATCAGATTTCATGAAAACAAAGAATTAATATACAAAATATAGTTATTTTTTAGTTCTTTTAAATTTAGAAAGATTAAATAAAGGCCAATATTAAAAAACTCTGTATGCTTAAGATTGGCCAATAACTAAAAGTCATAATATAATTTGAAGTTAATATATAGTTATTATTTAGAGATAGCTTGAATCGGTTCTAATCATTATTCTCTCCATATTTTATCAGTCTCAATGAGGGTTCCTCACCACCAAAACAGTTATAGTTATTATTTAGAGATAGCTTGAATTGGTTCTAATCATTATTCTCTCCATACCTTATCAGTCTCAATGAGGGTTCCTCATCACCAAAACAGTTATAGTTATTATTCACATATTAAAAATATAAAAACAAATGGCCAGAATAAATATTCCATAAATTTAGAATTGGATAAAAATGAGAATTTGAAAAAACATTTGTCTTTAATCGTGAAGCAGAAATTTGGTCCATTTTCAAGTGAAGAGTTTAGCTTTTAACTAATATTTAATTTTACTGACAGATTATTACATTCATATCAAAAGATACATTTTTTTTTGCTAAATATAACTTTTTTAATTTTAGTTTTCATGGTGAAAAAAAAAATATGTTGTATTGCACAACTTTCTAACAATGAAATATGAAGAATACAGTAAATAATAAGGTGTTTGTGTGCTTTTATTTATACTACAAATCACAACAAACTTAATGAAAAGACTTGCCTACTGAAACAATTGAAGGCAAACAATTAGAAATAATAACTAAATAAGCATATAATAAAACTGGTTACACTTTGGAAAGTTATAATAATACTCAGTGTTTGATGTATATTATTGAAAACAAAATGATTAAACTTTTCATTAAAACTAATAATGCTTCTAATATTTCACAGTGTAAAAACCAGTATTACATAAATGGACACTTGCACATGCAACCACATATATTATAGACAATTCTACATCTATACCTTTCACAATAATGCTTCTAATATTTCACAGTGTAAAAACCTGTGTTACATGAATGGACACTTACACATGCAACCACATATATTATAGACAATTCTACATCTATACCTTTCACAATAACGCTTCTGATATTTCACAGTATAAAAACCAGTGTTACATAAATGGACACTTACACATGCAATCACATATATTATAGACAATTCTACATCTATACCTTTCACAATAACGCTTCTAATATTTCACAGTATAAAAACCTGTGTTACATAAATGGACACTTACACATGCAATCACATATATTATAGACAATTCTACATCAATACCTTTCACAATAATGCTTCTAATATTTCACAGTGTAAAAACCAGTGTTACATAAATGGACACTTACACATGCAATCACATATATTATAGACAAGTCTACATCTATACCTTTCACAATTAGTTCTGCTGAACTTTCTTCTTTTCCAAATTCATTTACAATTTCAACTGAATAGGTGCCAGAAAACTCAACAGTCGTGCTAGTAATGGTAAGAATAGCTGTTGACCCATCAAAGGATATCTTATATTCTCGAGACTCTCTGATGGATCTTTTGTTTCTAGAATAAAGAAAAAAGTAAGTAAATAATTAGAGTTCCTAAAATTAAAATATGATTATTTAAAAATACTTATTTTTTCATTGACTAATCTCTTTACAGTTCTTTTTACTTTTACTAGAACACAGTATAGATAAATACAGGAATACTATTTATCTGTACCAAATGGATGTTGCTATATGCCTGATGTTAGTCTAGGTATACTACTCACCTGTACCAAATGGATGTTGCTTTCTGCCTGATGTTAGTCTAAATATACTAGTTACCTGTAATTAGTAGATGTTGCTTTCTGCTTTATGATATCTAGGAATACTACTCACTTGTACCAAGAGACTGTTATTTTCTGTTTGGAATCAACTTTACACACAAACTCTGCTGGATTTCCAGCTTCCACAGTCTGAAAGAAATACGATAATATCTCTCATACCAAACCTTGAATACTTTATGCCCTAGTTAAATTATCTAATACCTTAGAAAATATTCAATCTCCTTCAAGATAAATAAAAAACACCATATTCCCTAAGCATAATTCATTTAGGGAGATGAGAGATGTAACTACAAAAATGTTTCTACAGTCCTACGATATCTTGTGAAAACTAATACGCACTGTTGCTTGTGGCTTAAAAAAAGGTATTTTTGTTTCACATTGAAAAGGTAAGGCATGATTATAGAGAGTATGTTATTCAAAAAACTGATAATTTCTGATAACTCTGAGTGGTAAAATTTTGATAGTATCATTGCCTAGCAATAAGTCCTTGATACTCTTATCATCTAATGATAAGATTGTTACGATATATTATTTCTAGATTTAATCATAATAACTACAGTAGCATCTAATAGTCAGAATAGAGCTAATACAAATTTATAAAAATTTTGCCAGCAACATTTACAACCCAGACAACTGAAATGCATAAATAAACCACAACAGATCTTTCTAAAAAGAAGCCAGAAAAGTCTTAAGTTTTCTCATACATGACAAAAATTATCATAAGCCTACAAGTCATATTACACTTATGGTATTTTCTTGGTGGTGTCATACTAGGCTTAATTTATTCTATGTTGTCATATACAGAATACCAACACTCAAATAAGGACGAAAAAAAAATTTGTTTTTTTTGAATTTCATGCATTTTTAAGACAATTATCATCACAATAGCCACAATCTGCTCATAAATACTGTTACACACGGTAAGAGTCCAGGGCTGAAATCTAAAATAATATAGCTCATCTAACGAAAATCTGCCATTATTTCAAACATGCCACTACTTTTGTTTGTATGTTTTAACAAAGATCCTGTGAAATGTTAGTCTAAATTCAAAGCTATTTTGCCAAGGGAACAAAATGTATAACTTCAAATATGTAGCCATTAACATTAACTTAGCAGGAAGGTATGTAATTAGTAGTTAAAAGCAAATTAAAGTTCATCAACCCCACCAACAACAGTGGTATGAACTAACAAACAAACTCCTTTTTAGTTAAAAGAAATAGATAAGATTTTATGGGCTAAGTTACAGTCATTTTCAAAGATGAATTTTACACTGCATGTCTACTATTACTAATGAATAAAGTAATACAACAAAGGTTCCATTTGTCTCATGCCCTGACAACTACGTTTGGCTGCCAAAATATAAGGTTAAGAACACATTACTCCTCAAATTTCACACTTCTTATGACTATGTGTCATAGCTGTAGGTACCTTAGCCAATACTGACAATTTTGTATTGTACATTCAAAAAATGTTTCCAGTGTCATAGAAAAAGTGCAATATTTTTATTTAATTTTAGAAGAGTTTCAATTCTACTTTAAATACTTTACAATGACCTGAAAAATATTAAAGACTTTTTATTTAAAAACAAATTGAGAGAGGCCCCTTGGACCAATGGTTTTCAGTGCCTATTTTTTACAGGAATCAACTCATTTAACCAATGGCCTTTTGATAGGAATGTTTGAGACTAATATTTTTTTACACTATATTGAAAATCCACAATGTCACTTTTGGAAATAATATGAAGTTTTCATTATGAGATCAGCTTAGGGCATTGCATTTTTAACATACCAAGTAGCAGGGCCTTTTTCCTGCCCCACAACTGAAGACAAAATTTGACACTATGTTTGATGTAACACTTGTAGAGCAAATTTGTAAAACCTTTACTTATTGAGCTTTTAACCCTAATTCCATTACAGGCTGTAAGAAAAATGTTCATTTTTATAGCTAGTGTGTCCTCATATATTGATATTTTGCTTGCAAATGATGGTTTCTAGAAAAAATGTTGGGCCCTTTTTGAAAGTTTGCCCGCCACTAAAAAATCCTTTAAAAAATGCCCTGGCTTACAGAAAGACTAGTAAGACTGGCATTAACAAGAGAAATGTATGTAGTTGGATCAGTAACAATGATTTACCCGTATCTGGTGGAAAAAGGATTAAAATATCTGTTCTTTGGGTTAAGACACATTCCATTCAAAAACCCCAATATATATTCTCTTTGTAATTGTTTAATAAAGGTTACCTGTGGCTTTAGGCCTTGGACAATCTTGGGTTTTTCTCCTTTGGGAACTCTATAGAAAAACAAAATTCTTTAAAAATCCTCAACTCATGATAGGGTGTCACTCCACTTGTTTATTTAGAGTTTAAGCAAGTGAAATGTACATGTTAGATCTCATCTCTGTTGAGGTATAATTTTAGTTAAGATGAAACAATTTAGAAAGTGATATGCTAAGATGACTTTCTTTCCTCTAAGAAACTGGAAATACTTGAAGCTTTTGTTTTTCCATAGTTCTTGTTTTGTTCATTTTTTTTTATAATTGAGAGCTGTGAAGTTTTCAAAAGAACTAAAAATAACAGCCATTGATGCTAATACCAATACACAGTAAATAACGTACATTAAGTAACACTTAAAATACTGTGGGTAGTTTCCTATTATTGTCAAAAAAGTTTTGAAAGAATTTCAAAAATGTGTAATTTCAATCTAACACTAGATCTTTGTTTTATATTAACTTCAACAACATAAAATCTATAAGCATATATATATATATCATAATGGTTCTCTTCTGCACACTAGATGCCATCTGAAAATAAAATGTACTTACTTTTCATCTTTTTTCTTTTCTTCAGGAGGTTCTATAAGAAATAATATATAACAAAAGCATAAAATAAGTATATTTACAATTCCTAATTGTAAATCAAGAACAATATTTGAAAGTAATTTGATTGAAAAATTGTACCTGTTGCCAAGATAAAAGTTAACATTTTCCTAAACTAAAAATGTATTTCCAATAGGTACGCACCCCCCCTCACAAAAAGCTTTCTCAACTTACACTGCCCTCTATCGATGCAAATTTTTGCTCATCACTAACCTTGATACTCCCACTTACCTCTGCATACTAACATGGAAATGATTATGCAACAGCCCTCCACCAATAGATGCTGTTGTGTGTTGTGCAAGTAACTTCTTTAGAAAGTGTGTAACACAACTGTACCCATTAGTAGGCTAACTTATAATTATGCATACTATAACTTTACCTGTAAAATGCATACTTGGCATAATATATGTTGTTGTTTTCTTCTCCCAGAAGGTCCAATGCAAAAGGACAGTTGTGGTTAAATGTCAGTTCTTTGTGGCCCATATGGCAAAATCCAAGAAATTGGATACTAAATTTCTCAACAAATCAGCAAACAAGCCAAGTGTACTACCCTCTTTACATTATACTAGAATTGTACAAAGACTTTTTTGGATAACCCAGCATGAAGTTTCATGAAAAGAACCCCCAAACAAATTTGAATAGATCTCACTAATATATATAAAAGATGGAAGACAGATCATCAAACTGATACTTGATCAGTCCAATCATATTAAAATACTCACTATCAAACAGCTTGTAAAACCTAACAAAATCTATTCCACCTAATCTTTTTGCTGCTGTGCTTCTGTTCTCTAAAAGATCAGTCACATCCATTTTTTGACAACTCTGATCTGGTATTTCATCTTTGCATCATCTAACACTTGGCATAAAATAGATAAAAACTGGTTTCCATCCAGGTTACTTTTACAAAAACTGGGAGGACAGTTTCACTCATAATACTTCAGTTCATGCTTTAACAGTCAACTGACTATATTTTCCACAGCTGTTGCTTATTAATATGGTGTTCAGTGCTTATACAATTTGGTTTACTCAAGAGTGTACAAAGATTGTAATGTGGAAGAGAAGCACAGCTGGGATCACTTCTATAAGTTTTGCTGTCATTTGGAGAAGGGATCATTGTGCACAAAGCATTTAGAATAATAGTAATGTTGACACAATCTTTGGCAGGAGTTTTGTTTCTTTGAAGGCACCTTCTTATGTCATTTTGGATGGGCCTGATAATCTGCTTCTTTCTTTAGGTTCACACTTCACAGGCATAAGGCACATCTGTATTCTTTCAGCATGACTGACTGGTGTCTAGCTAACATTATCTCAGTGTGAGCCTTATAACAGTTTGCTAGTAATCAATGCGGCAAACATCAATAGTTCAATAACTACAAAAGTGTCCCATTTTTATCCAATACATTGTATTGGCCTGATTATAGGGCAATCTAATAAAAGGCAACCCCCATTTTCAGAAACCATGGGAAAGAAAAAACTGACTGTCATAATGTCCTAATTTTAGGTTTTCAAAATCAATACTGTAACTTAACAGCCTACAGGTGGATTAGTTGCAAGAATTAGCGATGACCTTGAGCAAAGATCTGGTATGCATGCGTAGATGGATGCCATCTGGACATTCAGGAATGCTAGAGTAGGGGTACTGTAACTCAACAGCCTACAGTGGATAGTTGCAAGAATTAGCGATGACCTTGAGCAAACATCTGGTATGCATGTGTAGATGGATGACATCTGGACATTCAGGAATGCTAGAGTAGGGGTACTGTAACTCAACAGCCTACAGGTGGATTAGTTGCAAGAATTAGCGATGACCTTGAGTGAACATCTGGTATGCATGCGTAGATGGATGCCATCTGGACATTCAGGAATGCTAGAGTAGGGGTACTGTAACTCAACAGCCTACAGGTGGATTAGTTGCAAGAATTAGCGATGACCTTGAGCAAAGATCTGGTATGCATGCGTAGATGGATGCCATCTGGACATTCAGGAATGGTAGAGTAGGGGTAAGGGGGCATGTGGTTGGACATCTGGTATGCATGCGTAGATGGATACCATCTGGACATTCATGAATGCTACAGTAGGGGTAAGGGGGCATGTGGTTGGCCACCATTATAAGGCAACTAGGAATTTCACAGCATAATTATTCATCAAAAAACATCATCTTGTAATTGGGCCAATATGGTAACTCGAAAATAAGACAAAAGATGGATATTCGTACTTAAGCATACATAAGTTTTTATACCAAAACAGACAAGACCATCCTTTAAGCAATATCATTTCTTTTGATATTTATTTGATCTAATAATTATGACTAGCATAATGAAAATTGGATATCTGTGAATATGATAATAGACAAGTTCATTTCTCCAAATATACCTTATGTAACTTTCATTAAAGGTAAAACAACTTCCACAGTAAATATATACTTTTATTGGCTGTCACTTGTAAGCAAAATTCCCATTTTATAGACCCTTGTTTTTTCAGACAAGTTTATTTCTTGGCATTTTAATTATGCATCTTTATCATGAAGGTGGAGTTGAATGAATTTTTCGAAAAGTATGAAAATGTAGAAAATTTTCTGAAAGATTTTAAGTACTACTTTTAAAAAAACCTCACACTGCAATGTGCACATAAATATTGTCTATATATTAGATTTATTACACAGTATTCTTAAGATTAAAACTAACACTGGTAGATAACATTTAAAGCTACGAATGGGTAAAAATCTTGTTTTGTGTTTCTAATGTTTAAAATTTTCCAATGCTAAGATTCAAGACAAATGTAACAGATCAGAGTATATTTCAATTAAGTATCAAATAAAGTGCTACCGTTAATTCTTTCTTTTATCTTACCTTCGAGATCCACCTGGATAGGTTGAGAAGTAACTTCACCTTTTTCATTTTTAGCCATCAGTTTGTAGTTACCCTTATCTGCTGCAGTAGGTTTATCAATCTCAAGAGCAATAGCATATTCTCCTTTAGAAATTTCTCGAATCTGGATAGAGTGGCGTGAGTCTTCACGTACAGTAGATGCCTCTTTGTACCAAATACATTTAGGTTTGGCAGCTGATTGGACATGACACTCAATAACAATTTTCTTTTGTCGATCTCTTTTGACAATTTTGGGTTTTTCTTTAATGACAGGAGCCACTGTAATAATTATATACAAGGGAGATATTAGTATAAAATTATAAAGTGGTTTACATTAACACACCATAATAAGCCTTGCAGGTTACAAAACATGCATAAAATAGCATTTATTTAAATTGTTTTCATAAATGTTGGAACTTAAAAATAGAATAAGTTAAAGACATCTGTTAGTGTCAATTTTCGTTTTAAAAGAAAATAAGGCCCAGCATGGCCAGGTGGTTAGGGCGTTTGACTCGCAATCTGAGGGTCGCAAGTTCTAATCACCATCACACCAAACATGCTCATCCTTTCAGCCATGGGGGCGTTATAATGTGACGGTCAATCCCACTATTCCTTGGTAAAATAGTAGCCCAAGAGTTGGCAGTGGGTGGTGATGACTAGCTACCTTCCCTCTAGTCTTACACTACTAAATTAGGGACGGCTAACTCAGATAGCCCTCGTGTAGCTTTGCACGAAATTCAAAACAAAACAAAAGAAACAAACAGAAAATGCTGAAAATAATTCATATAAAATATATGAACATCTTATTAATAGGACAAACTAAAATTAAGCTTTCCACATGTATTTAACTAACCCTTGTGAAACGTTATTTTACACATACCTAAATTTCAATGTACATACACTAGCTTTTTTCTATTGTCATGAAATTATGCAGAAATTTAATTTACTACTATTTTCAACAGTCATATCTGCTGCAATTTACTGTAAGAGATTTCTAACTTACAATTACGCTACTCATATTAAGAGGAAAAATATCTTACAATGGTTGTTGATTTACAATAAAATTAAACTCTTAATATGTATTGTGAAAAAGTGTACTTAAGTCAACAACACTATGCAAAAGAAAAGCCTAGTGACTGCAGAAAGCAAACAGTAACACGTGTGACAATGTAACAAGAAATATTCCTAACACTATATGAAAGAAAAACATCATAGAAAGCTACTCATCATATTCATATTGTTACGTATCTGCTTGTTTGTTAATTTCCAGTAGAAATTCTTTCCGAAGAACTTCAGTGATACAAGTCCTGTCTTGATTAAAACTAGTTTATTCTTTCTTGATACAACTTTTAGTAATACACAGAAT